CAAGCTCTTATAAATACAAACTACACTATGTCTGATCGGTCATACTTCAATCAAAAGTGTATGATCGGTCAAACTTAATGTAATTTATAAAAAAAAATTGTGAACGGATCATTTCTCAAATTAGAATATATTTGTTCCGGATTAATACCAGGTTAGATCCACTGGGTTAAAGCCCAAAGGCTAGGCATAAATTTTTCTCTCATTGTACTAGCATCATAGGCGATGAATCTGGGTCGTGGGTTAATTTAAATTCATGATCCTTTTCTGCTATGCAATACACACAATCATCCCTAACTGCGTACCAAATTACGATCACTGTAACTACCAAAGGTTATATAAATACGTACAGGAATAGTATCAAACGAGGGGGACTTCATAGTTCATATGCACTGCCTTCAACCATCCTATACCAAGCTTACATATTCTTCTAGATACTGAGACTTATACATCATCGATACTAGATCATACCCAACCTTAGTATACCCTAAACACTTAACCTATAACCCTCTTACCCTGGTGTTCACTCATAACCAATATCCAAATGTAAAATCTTACGCAATCTTCTAGAGGTGATGATTGAAAACAGCCTACAGTTTATTGTCAAAATTATATAGTTTGATGATTGTTGAGCATTAGTTCATTGAATGTACATGCATGTTCCTTTAATGTACATCCCGTATCATCCGAAGTTCCAACCACTAATATTTTGTCGTCTAGTGAACTTCCGCAGTACCAACTACCAAGTGGCGGCATGTTAGTTCAACACGATTACAGTACAGAATACTACAAATGATTCAGATTGCGTATCCAAAGAAAAGCAAATAATTCAGATTACTACTAAAATTAAAGGCAAGGGGCATATGACTACCAGAATCAAAGAACTTGGAGAGAGAAAAAAAAGTAATTATAATTAGATAATCTCTTTATTTACTAGTTTTTTAAAGTGCTATATTTGTCTTATATTACTGTAAAAAAAATTCTTATATTATAGAGACGATCATTATAAAATCCATCATTTTAAAAAAAAATGAGACGTAAATATTGATGGGTCAACTACAAAATTAAAATTTATACAGCAATATAAGATAAATAAAGTCCTTTTTTTTAAATAAGCAGCACTAAATAAAATATTTTAATAATTTTAATATTTCTAGAAAAAAAAATTTGACTTACTCTTTTGTCCAAACATATTTCAAGTAAAATAAGAAAAGATGGATAAAAAAATGATTAAATTTCTCTAGTTCACATCATTGATGTTATTACTTGGTCAAAAAATTTAATTATGAGTAAAAATTGTATTAATTATGCCGTGTGTTCCAGGATACAAAAACACTGTCCTGCCGCCCCTGGTGGCATGGTGTCTCCTAAACTTTTGATTAAAAAAGAAAAGTGCTATCTGTTACGAAAATGATGAGAAAATAAAGTACTTGGATTGCACAGTTGGACAAATCAATAGTTTATTAAATTTTCTTTATTGCCCCTCTTCCTCGTTTGAGATTTTGGATCCCAAATATTTATAAATTGGCGGTTTTGACACGTGACGGTGACCGTAACCGCGTATAGCCGCCCAGCACCGTGTCACGTGGCACCCACACTCGATCTTCTCTGGGTCCCACCGCGTTGTGACCCATCGCCAACTCTGGCGGCGAAACTTCCTTCATCTTTCCTTCACTGCGCCGTACGCATCAGGTCAATAAATCATTTTTTTAAAGTACTTTTAGAATTTTAATAAATAAAAATAAATGGTTAAATAAAAAAAATGCATGCGTGTCGGAAAGAGAGGGGAATGGAACAAAGGCGAATCGAAAGCGACGTCGTCTCCAACAGATTCCGCCGACGCACGCAACCGAAAGCGGCACCTAAATCCACCACTTTCAAAACTGATTTTGCTTCTGTTCCCTCCTTATCCCCTCATCCACTCTCTCTCTCTCTCTCTCTCTCATTTTATCTTGCTCCTTACTCTTTATTCCTATGCCTCTTTCCATTCAATTACTCGGAAGCAACCAACACCATCAAAACAGGGAGTCCTTTTATAGGGAAAATATTTGTTGGCTTAAACATCATCATTAGAGTTATGTTATTTTAAAAAGAAGATTATACGTACAACTTATTTTTATTTATAATTTTTTATAATTGTATCTTAATCGTTAATTTTTGTTAGTCAATGATTTAAATTTTTAAAAATTAAATTAATTATTAATTCACACTAAAAGACAATAGTTGATCGACGAAAATCAATGATGAAGATATAGTTATAAGAGTTTGTAAACTATTTAGATTGTAAATATAATTCCTCTTTATTTTAAATGATAAAAATATATCATAATATTTTTTATTTAAAATTTAAATTTAAAAAAAATCTCTCGCTCATCTTTTCATAATTTTCATTGTTTATATTTTTTTTCATTTAAAACGAGATAATTACATATTTTTTCGAAGGATGAATATTAAACCCTACTTTTATATATTAAAAAATGTTAATTAAATAAAAGAATTTTTTTAAAAAAAAATAAGGCACTTTTGTGCAATATTATCAAAATCAGTTCGACCCAGAACTCAGTAAATTAGTCATATAATCTGTGTGGATTATGCTTAGACATGTATCAAATCCGATTAAAACCGATTTCACTCGACTGATTGTTGTCAAAATTGGTAACCCGATCAGTTTACAAATAAATCGATGGATCATGCAATTTTTTAAAAAAAAATTAACGTCGTTTGACTTTTTTATTTCATCTACTGTACCTATTTATTACTGTCAAGTTGAAAAAGTTGTCCTTCCTTCGTTTGAATAAAAAAAAATAAAAAACTGACACATCCTTTTTTCGGAGATTGCTTCATGTGAAAGCTACCCTACCTTCATACCAGACCGCCATTGATCAATATTTTTTGTTTTCTTATAAGTATTTTGGGTCTGATGTTTGTCATTTTAAATGATACAAGTCATGTTATTTTAAGAGAGATAGATACAAACAATAAAAATCATAGGAGAGAAAGTGAGAGATTTTTTAATTTAAATTTTAAATAAAAAATATTTTCTTGTATCTATTTCTCTCTTAAAATAATATAACTTTATATTATTTAAAATAATAAATACTTTTTTCTATTTTTTATGAGAAAAAAATTATATTTTGTGCTAGATTTTGATTGGATTGTTTTCTCTTGATAGCATCAAGAGTTTAATGTTATAAACTTACGTAGATGTTAAATGTTTAAGAAAAGAACAACAATTATATATTTGTTTATTGAGAAAAGTGTGTATAATTTTAACGAAAGTAAAATTGTGTCATTTTAAATGAAAGAAAGAGATAGATAAAGAAAAAGAGAGAATGAACAAAAAAAATATAAAGGTGTGGGTCTCACCTCTTTGTAAAAGTGAAAGGATATAAATTGTGTCATTTAAAAGGATAAACAATTTTCCCTTGTTTATTTGCTTGTTGAACAATTACGTGTGAAATTTTTTATATAAGAAAATTTTGAACAAATATCATATCTTACATGTACTTGAGTATTTTTGTGAATTTTATATATAAAATACAAATTTTTATATACTTATTCAGATCATACTCATTAATTATTGAGTCATCGGTTAAACCAGTGATAGGGCGATCAACACCGGTTTAAATATGAAAACATTGCTTTTGTGGACGGCAAAAAAGAAATACACGTGTCGTTCAGCGTGTACTCAGACATTGATTAAACACGTAGCCGTCAACACTGAGCGTTTCTGTGGGCCCCAAATAGTTGGTGATTTATTTCAAGATTTGCCGTCGGTGCACTAACACCAACATTGCTAAACTCATTAATTAATGTATTACATTTTCCTCTTAATAATCCACTTCTCAGAGGATGCTATTTTGCTAGCTAATCCGCATTTGTGTGAGTCACTGTTAGCATTTAATTATTTTGTTCTAGATTTCGTTGACGAGTATCTTTATAAAGATTTATTATTTTGAAAATTTGTGTAATGTTTTTTAAATAATTGTAATAAGTAGTAAATGTTATTTATTTTTTAACAAGTAAAATATTAATTGTTTTTTAACCAGAGATATAGTAGACTTACGGGTGTCATTAAAATGACTTTAGAAACCTAATGTGCATATTTCAAAGATTATTGTATCCCACTAACTTGACAAAGTAATATATAATAATGGGTTTGCATCTTTTCAATTATTCTTAGAAAATGATGCCTTGAGATAATTAATCGCAGCATGTTTGGAATTTGAATTACGCTTGGCACAAATTCAAACTGTTTTGGAGTGTGAAATCTAAATTTAATTGTGTAATAATTATGAGTAATTATTTTTTAACATAATTTTAAGTCTCGTTAAAAATAAAAATAATCATATTTCTATTAAGAGAAACCTTGTTTTGTAGGCCATATAATCATATTTTCAATGCCCTTGCATTGAAAAATGAAAATAACTATATTTCAATTAAGCGACACCTTAATTTGTATACCATATTCAAAGCATGCCATTGCATTTTAAAGCTACGCAGGTTCATATTTTTTATTATTTAACTAGTTAGTAGCCTGCACTTTCGCTTTTTATTTTAACGTATAATTAAGATAATTAATATAAACTACTGAATTTGAGTATTGGTTAGTTTAATATAATATTGTTTTATTTAATATTTAAAAACACTTTTGAACAAATGAACTTAATAAAAAAATTTAACAAGTAATTAAAAAAAATAAAAAACACTGAAATAAAATGAATTATAGAATAATCTCATACTTTAAAGTAAGACTATGATTTATGTCTTCATACGATAAAGAGTGAAATTATTATCATTATTTAGAGCGATAATTACAGAAATATCCCAGCCAGATAGTGTCTATAATTTTTCATTTTTACAAAATTAAACTTATTTGTATACGACCCTGGAATACCTGTCTTGACAATTACGTTTTAATAGCAATAGTTATATTAATGTCATAAAAATAGATTTATACATAAGACTAAAATAAAAATTAGCCTGAATACCAGATATAGAGATTGCAGAAAACTCAAAAGAGCAAAAATTATTACATTATAAGAAAATTAACATCAGCCAGAATCACATATTAGAGGTTACAGAAAATTATAAGAGATCCAGAGAAATTCGGATCAAACTCTTTAACTTGGTTAAAAAAAAAAAACTAACTTATTTACATCAAAGGATGTAATTAACAGCCATCTTCCTCAAAATAATAAAAGATTAACCTTCGGGTAAGGGAAAAAAAAAAAAAACACTTCTGCTTTCTGCTTTGTTCTAGGTACGGTGTGAAATGTAAAAATTAAAAAAAAAAAAAAAAAAAGTTAAAAAATTAAGCGTCCATTGGCGGAGCTAAGTTAAGATCAAGATTGAGAGCAATTTTGGGCTGACAATCAACAACTGAGGATGAATCCGAGTCACTCTGGACCGCACCGCTAAACCCGGTGGTGAACTCGACCGGTCCCGGTTCGAACCGGACAGGAAAACGCTGGCTCAGAAACTCTGCTCGACCAGCCGGGTCAAGAAAGAAAACCGGGCGTACGGGAGTCACCATGCCATCAACCGCACTTCCACCACCTCCGCCGCCAAACGCCACGAGTTGCGGCTGCAGCTGGAGAAACGGGAACCGATCCATAACCGCGCCGGCAACGTCACGTCGGCGCGTGACCTCACGCTCCGGAGTGGACGACTCAACGGTGCTGCTCTGGCTAGGGCTCTGGTTGTTGTTGTTGTTAACATGGTGGTTGAGGTTTTCTTTGGTATCAGAAGGATGAGGAGGAGGAGGGAAGTTGGTCTTAGCCTTAGGGCCACGAAACTGCCTCGCGGCGGCGTCGTAAGCTCTAGCGGCTTCCTCGGCGGTGTCGAAGGTGCCGAGCCAGACGCGGCTCTTCTTGCCTGGATCTCTGATCTCGGCGGCGTAACGTCCCCATGGTCTCTTCCGTACACCTCTAAAGTGAACCTCGATGGCGCCATTGCAAGGCTTCTTGTTCTTCACACTCATCTTCTCCTTCACAGCCATGGATGATGATGATGAAGGGTTTCGCATATCCAAAACGATAACAGAGCAGTTACGTGTGTAGTGAGTGGTGTGATGGTGTCAAAGCCAAGGGTGGGTTATATATAACAGTTTTTTTTTTTTAGTTTAATTTTAATTAATTAATTAATTAAAAAATAGAAAAATTTGTGATTTGTGAGAAAGTGAGTGAGAGAGAGAGAGAGAGGAAGGTGGAGTCAAAGAAGGTTATATGAGTGTGTTGGAGAGACGCCGCCCAAAGGAAAATTGGAGATAACGGTGTTTTTGGTTAAGAGGGTTACGTGGCACGCGGGAATTTCGAGACAAGCGGCGAGGCTGGGGCTTCATGCGTGCCGGCTTTTTTAACCTAATGGGCCGTTTTTTCGGCTCACCTTCTTCACCATGTACGTCTATCACACGCGCTTACTTTTTAATACGCAAGTGTTGGTACGCGCTTTTGATGAATAGGAGAAGTGTTTTGGGATTTTTGGATAGCAATGACCGAGTCTAAGTTTTGTAACAAGTGTCAGTGTTGATGGCTACATGGCCGTCTCGTTCTCTCACTCTCTCTCTCTCTCTTATAATTTCATTTGTTACTTTTGAATCGTTCTTTGAGACATTTTGGTGAACGGGGAGTGAAACCTGACCAGTGAGAGCGTGTACACGCGTCATTGTCCTCCTCTTGACGCGTCCTTTGAAAACTTGGAAACCCGTCCCTTTCATCTTTTTTTCTTGTTTCGGTGCCAGCCATCCGCACCCAAAATCGCGTCTCTGTCCCTCTCGCTTTCGTTAAATAACGAAAGACCATGTGTGTGTAATGTGTGTGGTGTGTGACTCACTTTCGTGTTTTTTTACCACGACACAACAACTAGCGTGGTGGGAACCCCACGCTTTTTGTTTTTTTAGTTCTTGACCGCAGGATCTGGGAGAGGGAACGGAACGGATGCGTAGAGAGCGTGATTGTTTGATTTGATGGTGGGCCAAATCCTGCTGAAATTATGCGCTTAAAAAAGGCCTTACACCAAGAAACTGCGTCTGAAATTGTCATTAGTGGATGGTGCTTAAAAAGGGAACGTAGGTTAATAGAGTGGTTTAAGAAAGTAAACTTATTTCCTTCACTTTTCAAAATTTTCCCTTTCTTACTCCCAAACACGGACGGACTGGTTAGTTGACATTCTGCAATATTTACAGGGGCAGCTAATCTAACAAAGCTGCTTATATCTAAACCAACATATTATTATTATTATTATTATTATTAAATGATAAAAGCCTTAAAGTGTGGGATTTTTCCTTGATAAAAGGCTTATTACACAGAACCAATATGTTATTACCAAAATCACATAATTAATTATAGTTGGAGAAAAAAATGTAATGTTTGAAAAATAAATATGTAACTAATAAAAAATGTAATATTTTTGTTGTTACTGCAGATAAGTTATCTGTATTTACTCCCAAAACGACGTCAATTTGGTATTGAAATATTAAAAAATTATAATTATAAAGACTATTATAATCTTGAAATAAATTAAAATTATAAAAACACATTGATTTTCGTCCCAAAACAACGTCGTTTTAAGCTCAATGCAGATAACTTATCTGTATTTACTGCAGAAAAAATGAACCCATATAATAAAAAAAAATTTACATCTCTTATTTCATAAGTCGTTTTACATTAACACGGTGTCATTTTGCATTTTTTTTTATAGAAATTATAGTACTATAATCGTAAACAAATGATAAAAAATAAAATATAAGGGGATATGTGTGTAAGTGTATGAGGAATTGAGGATGATATGACTTAGTCACCTTTGCGAAATTAGTAGCGTGATGTTACTTTTAATAGTCTATAAGTGTCTACTTTCATAATTATAATCTACAAGTTTCCTTTCTGTTTTTTGGGCTGTTTGTTAAGTATACTAAAAAAAACAAAAGGATAGCCCAATACGGGCAAAGACAAACTGGGATTGGTCCTATCTCAGTTGAAACTAGCTAGCTGGTCGGTTACCCCATTCTTCATTTAGACCACCTAAAGTAAAATGAATGTAAATAGGAGAACTCAAAACTAATTAAAAGTAGAAAATAGGAAATTTTGCATAACAATCTTCGGGAGAAAAAATTACGCACAATAAAGTGTTTAAATCTTCTTAAAGAAGGGTTTAATTCACAAAATTCAATAAATGAAAATAAGTAATATCCAAATAAAATAACAACTACTCAAGAAAGACTAACACACTCGGGCCAATTCAAATTGGCCTGCATAAAAAAAAATTGTTATAAAAAAAAAAAAAAAAATTGGCCTGCATCAATTTTATTCTAATATTTCGGCCAATACTGAATCCAACCAAGCAATGAAAAGGTTTAACTCAACTATTTTTATTTGAAGTATTAAGAGAGGAAAAGTAATCTCATCTTAAAGTGTAAGTCTTGACAAGGCTTCCAATAACATATATAAACAATCAACAAGTGAAAGATCACAGATAAGAATCAAAACCAATACCTTTATATCAACCCAGTTTGATCCTGTTGATTGAGCCAACCTCATTGTAAATTTAACCCGGTTCTAATGTCAAGTAAAATAGGACGATTGATGGTGATAGATAGAAATATTCTAAAATGGTATATTAAGGCTCGAAATTGAAACTAAAAAGTTAAAAAAATATACAATTTTTTTTGGGGATAATTACTGATAATGTTGTATTAAGGACCATATATTATTTTAACTTTATGAACATCAATGGCTCCTAAACCTATTGTAAGAAATTCATGTACCCTTCACCTAGCTAGCTCTTTCCGTGATAACTTATTTATCTTCCTAATATATTGCTGCCAATTCATCATTCCATGAAAAGAACAAAATACGTTGTGTTAGAAATCGATCATTCCAAGAAGGTTACATTTTCTAATCATATATGGTTGCAAGATTTTGTTGTAACAATGGAGACGGAGTAAGATTTAATTTTATTAGCTACACATGCTATTAATTACACCAAATAAAATAATTTTTTTTCTTGTAATATAAATCATGTATAATTTGAGAGAGCATCTAATAGTAATTTGGTTGGAACATGCTTACATACATCGAATTATTACAAATTGAGGGCATTGCTAACAATGTAGGCTTTTGTCAAGCTATGCTTCTGCTTCCCGATAAGGATTTTTCATATTCATAAGAATTCTTTAGATCAATTCATAAGTTCCTTGTTTAAAAATTTAGTTATTTATTGTTCAACAATACCTGTTGTAGGTTAACCAGTTGGTATGAAAGAATTGGTTTTATTGTGGTTTTTTTGTTGACCTTTTTATTCCCGAAGATGGGCTTAGCAGGATAAAAGTTGTATTGTGTCATGGGAACAATATTCCAAGGCCCCGACTCACAGAGTGTCCATGTCCAATCTATTGTCCTTACTTGTGAAGGAGCCCAAACCACCAAAGCTCCTTATCCAAATTGTCACACAACTAGTCCTCTGTTGGATAGAATCAAAATGGGTTGGTTCAAGTGGTACATATTTGATTTTATTTAAGCAAAATTTTGGGTTCAAGTATTTATTGAGATACATAAAACTATTAATGTAGTCTCACTCAACAGCGTAGGTGGACCTGTGCATTGTCCACCCTTCAAGTCCAATGGGCTCTCGTGAACCCTCACCGCCCTCCCACTTTCTTTCTAATGAAATTTCAACACTTTAAATGAGTAGGTGGGCCCTGTGCGTAAAAAATTGTCTCCCGTAAAAAAATAAATGTGATTTATCAAAAAAAAAGAAGAAGATCTAACCGATAGCACTAACCGATAGCGCTGCTATACGTACAACAATCTACCATAGGAGAATATCTTTGGTACTACAGATGTAGCGAAAACTCGGTGCATCTTCCACTTATTTTATGACACGTGCCTTATTTTATGTCAAATTATTCTCTCTCCTAAGTGGAAGATGCAACGAATTTACGGTGCACCAGTATCACCAAAGAAATTTTCCTACCATAGCGTCATATCTACACCTTTATCTTCCCACACTAAGTCTTCGGCAGGAAGTCCTAACCATTAGAAAAGGACATGAGAGATGTGCACTCCCTAATGCTAGGTGTCTCCAGTGGATGCTAGGAGTTGGTGTACTTGGAATGACTAGTCAGAGCGAAAAGGACGAAGGAGGAACACATGAAATATGTTGTAGATCTTTGAAAAAGGTGAAAGCTTGAGCCCGTAAGTCATAAGACCCACTAATTTCAACACTTTAAATGACCCATAATAGCAAAGGGCGACATTATGGGATGACCAAAAGGATTGATCGAAAGTTGGTGGTATGGTTGCAACTTCAACGAAATAAGCTCTTCGACGACAAATGAACTAACTTCAACGAAATAAGCTTTTCTTAAGTTTTCTTTCAATGTATGGAGTATGGACGCTTTAGTGGTCAAATCAAAGTCAATCCCTTCATTGGCAGAGGAACCTAGGCATTAGGCAACAAGATTCAGCGGTGGTCTGCCATAAATGACTTTATAAGGAGTTAAACCAGTAACATCATAGACTATATGGTCTTCTAGTGGTACTCAGCCTAACTGAGATACCAGACCATTTAGCCGGATGTTCATGGGCAAAGGTGGTGAGGTAAGATTCGACACATCTATTTACCCTCTGTGTTTGTCCATCCGTACAAGGAACTGAATAGAGTTTGGTGCCTTGCAAGTTGAAAATGGTACGCCAAAAATCACTTAAAAACACAAGTTTATGTCAAATACAATCGGCTGAGGAAGACCATTTAATTTACCAACTTGATCCTAGAGGAGTTGAGCAATACTATGGATTGAAATATAATATCCTCATATATAAATTATCATAAGCTAAACTCAAAAAATATATAAATCAAGCATAAATTATCATAAACAAAATTTCAAGACATTCTACATGGAATGTTTTCTTTAATGATTATTAGGTAAATGATATTTTATCATTACCATATTAATTTTTACCATTGGCATGTTAGTATTTTTCCTATAAATAAAGGCTAGAAGAACCATTAGCCATCACTTCAAAACTAAGAGAAATCAAGGAGCGGAGGGTCTCGAAAAATTT